GGATTTTATGCGCTGCACACTGTGTCGATCAGAGTAGTGACCCTAATCGGTATTCACTGGCTTTAGGTAGGTTTATGTTGCTGTGTTGTAAACAGTGTTCTCGTCGTTTCTCGGCAAAAGGTTCATGTGTCTAAAATTGTTGTAAAACTATATTCAAAAAATATTTGTTTTCCAAGTACCTCGGCGATCATTGAATAGTAACTCCTTCAACTAAATTGGATACTGAAGCAGTTTCCAGGGGTCCTTTTTTAATACAATAATACATGTACAAACTCTGTAATTTCAGTTGATAAAAGAAAGCAACACAATTGATGGCTCCACATTAATTTCAACGAAAGGAAAACATTTACGAATTGAGATGATCGCTTAAAAGAGGTCAAGTTTACTTTCACTAATGACCGCTACATAGACGGTGACCGCTTAAAACAGGACCGCTTAATAAAGGTTTGATGTAGTATCTTCGAAGCATTTAATATTTTCCAATGTTTATCGCCAAACAGGAGCACATAGCAGAACAAATGACGGAGAGGTCTTCCGAGTTTCCCGCGTCATCAAACATGAACAGTTCAGCATGCAGCATTTACGTCATGACGTGGCATTGTTGAAATTGTCGAAACCAGCAACTCTTGGTGGGAAAATCAACACGATATGCCTGCCGCAACATGGGTCACGTGTCAGTCCAGGAACAACATGTTATGTAACAGGTAACTTTTTAAAGCACGTGGTGGTTTGGAATAAATCAAACTGGACTCAGAAACAGCTTCAGAAATATCGCTGTTTTAAGTCGCATTCATTTATTATTACTAGCAGTATCGATACGTTAAGTAGTGCGACCATGAGTATTTAGATATAGAACCAGAAATTTATAATAGAAAGTTAAGTGCTGCGGATGGAAACAAGAATTGTGAACATACACCTGCCTGATCCCCCCACAAACCTATACGTGCTAATTTGTTGACTAAATTACTCCATGCTGAACGAAATAAAAAGGCTCATGAACGAAAAAAGCCCAGATAGAATAGGGTTAAACCCCGGAGGGGGTACTACCTATAATGGACTATACGGGGAGGCTCCGCCCAAAAGGAGTCCTTTTTTAGGCTCGAGGTATATGAAAGGAAAGGATAGGGATTTCATGAGTTGAAGTATAGAAAAGGGTAGAGAAAACTGTCATTTAGGTGTTTAAAAGGGCCTTTCAAAATATCTCGAACAGACGCACCTAACGGCTGATTCATCCAATATTTTAAGGGGCTATCCAAGCGAAAAGTTTAGTAAAAGTCGTACAAGGGATGCAGTGTTTCAACTGTAGGTATGTGAAAGGGGTACGATTTTCTATGGAAGGTATATTAAAGGGTTACCTTTTCAGTCAGAAATGGTATATAAAAGGGTAAGGGTTTGGACCTCGGGGCGGAGCCTCCCCGTATAAAACTTTCTTCAGTACCCCCCCGGGGTTAAACCATTGGCATCCCTTTTATTATCCCATTTTATTTCGAAAAAGTTAAAAATACCTTAGAAGAAACACGTCAAAAAGCATATCCGTGGATGTTAGGAAGCCCAAGAAAAGAAGTCTTGTTATATAACAACGTCCTTGTAGTTAAGGTTTTCCCCCTTAAAGGGACACTGTCCCGGCGTATTTGCTCAAAACTGTTATAAATGCATGAAATGGTCCCTAAATCTATGTAATAAGAAATTAATAAACTCTAACTAAATGATAAAAAGCAATTTCTTCAAGAAATTCCATACTGCAACAAAATTTTGGCAAAATTTCAAAGATTTCCAAGCCAAATTTGAAACTTTGAAAAACTGACATCCTGACGTTTTTTCAAAAATCCATATTGCAATCCATTTCCATCCTCGCTGTCGTTCGTCATCCTCACTTCCTAATGGGTTCCTGTCATTTGTCGAGTGTTATTCTACAGAATCAAACCATTATTGATCAACTTCCTATGATCTAGATATGTTTCTGAGCTTCCCAAAATCATGCTAAAATCAGGACAGTGTCCCTTTAATGCATCGTTGTTATTTATAACCAGGATGGGGAAGAATCAACCCAAGTAACAACCAACTTGCTCCTCGCCTTAAACAAGCTTCGGCTCCAGTGGCGTCTCACAGTGAGTGTCGACGAACAAATGGAGGATCAGTTGACGAAAGTTCCATGATCTGTGTTGGAGGCAAAGGAAGCAGCGTATGTAATGGCGACAGTGGTGGTCCCTTGTCGTGCAAGGAGGGTAATCGATGGGTCGTCCGTGGCGCGGCCTCGTGGGTGACTAGTCGAACATGCCCGGGCCACACCTATTCTGTGTACTCTCGTGTTAGCTCTTACATAAATTGGATCAACGGTCACATCCAAGGTAAGTAATGGGGTGAGAAAAAGACAGTAGGGTGAAGGGGTGGGGTGGGGGATCAGTATGTGTACTTGTGTAAACATAAAATGTTTTGTGATAATCAAGAATATGACTAAACAGGATAGTTTGCCGGTCTAGTAGTTAACAGCTGTGGTTATTGTTTATTTTCTAGGTGGAGGAGGTGGAGGTGGTGGCGGAGGTGGCGGAGGCGGAGGAGGTATGTTGTCAAACTTTAAAAATAACATTTGTGAGAAAATTAATAATGTGTATTGACACGAGTTTCCATGGCAACGTTATGTTTGTGCTGACCCAGCAAAAGGCCGGTAACGTTATGACGTCATCTGACATTAACTCTGTTAGTGTAACTTTTATTTTTTCTTTGTCGCCAGATTGCGAGGACAAGAATAGCAACTGCCCTGGGTGGGCAGACAAAGGGTATTGCCAAGGGAAGTTCGAAGCATACATGAAAGACAACTGTAAGAAAAGCTGTAAAGTCTGCGACGGAGGTGGCGGAGGCGGCGGTGGCGACGGAGGCGGAGGCGGCGGTGGCGGTGGAGGCGGCGGTGGCGGCGGTGGGGGAAGTACGTTACAAACTCGTGTTAACTAATTAACCTTTAGATAAATTACAAAATTGAAGAATTGTGGAACGTACGTACACTCAATTTAACTGAAATGCAGGATGATGATTGCTACCGAAATACACAGCGAAATTCCGGTTATAAACCCCTCCGTTTATAAGCTCCCGTCCAGTGTCTGCGAACAAATAAATTCCCAATAAAAAGCCCCCCCCCCCCCCTTTTCTCTTTTCTGCTTTATAGTGATTGCTACAAATACCGCTAAGTCACCGTTTATAGGTTTCCCTCCCACTAAATATAGGCTCATCTGTCTGCTAACAAATAAATGCCCAGTTCTAAGTCCTCTTTCCCTTTTCCGCTTATAACATCCTCACAGAACATTGTACAACTTCGAATAGAAAATTCTGAAATAAAAATATATTAATCGATTTACGGTTATTAATGTTAAACTTAAAGGACAGTAAATGGAAAACGTAACTATATATATAATAATTCCGCATGTAAATTATAACCTAGAGTCGCTTCTTGTCTATCACACAAAATCTATATTTGTACAGTATATACGCCCTCGGTCGATTATTTTTAAGTGGGTGCAACTTTTGTCTTCAGGTTGCGAGGACAAAAAAAAAGATAAATGCGGTGGATGGGCAGACAAAGGGTATTGCAAAGGGAAATACGAAGCATACATGAAAACCAACTGTATGGAGAGCTGTGGTTACTGCGATGGTGGCGGCGGCGGCGGAGGCGGTGGCGGTGGCGGTGGCGGCGGAGGAGGAGGAGGAGAAAGTACGTTACAAAACTATTGTTACCTTATTAACATTTAGGTAAATTACAAAACTGTGGAATTGTGGAGCATGTGTACACGGAAACTCGTTTTTCTGGCGATTGCTATTTGTACGATTTATATAGGAGACTGTCCTTCTTCTTCTTCTTCTTCTTCTTCTTCCTTAGTTTATTTAATTTCAGTTTGTAAAACCAACGACACCTGCTCAAGGTTGGCTCGATCGTAAAGATTCTACATCATCAGTGAATCCTGCCAAACAATATATGACATATTGCAACTATAGATTTTACCAACTTCGTTGTTATCACTATATCATGTTCTTTCTTTTCCAATTGTATTCTAGGTTGTAAAGACATCACTGTAAATTGCGCAGACTATAAAAGTTACTGCAAAAAACAAGGTTGGATAGATCACATGAAGAAAAATTGCAAGAAGACTTGTGAGTATTGTGATGGCGGTGGAGGTGGCGGTGGCGGTGGCGGTGGAGGAGGAGGAGGAGGAGGAGGAGGAGGAGGTGGCGGCGGAGGAGGAGGCGGCGGCGGCGGCGGTGGCGGTGGCGGAGGGGAAACGGAGGATCAGGAAAATGTGGATACAAACCCAGTACTCGAATTGTTGGTGGTACCGAGGCCCCCAAAGGAGCTTGGCCATGGCAAGCATTGATCAAGTCAAGGAATTTTGGATTTTGTGGAGGAACTTTGGTTCATCCACAGTGGGTTGTCACTGCTGCTCACTGCACAGCAGGAAAATCGGCCTCAGGAATTAAAGTAACGTAAGTTCTTTAAGCATTGTGTTATGTACTAGTAATTGGACTGAGTGGAGTATTGTAATTCAGGGAGTAATAATTTAATCATGAGTACGATGGGAGGATAGGAAGTCTGAGAGAACATATTTTTAGTGATATTCCATCAGTTAACGTTTTACAAACAGTAGAGAAACAGCAAAAAAGGACCCATTTCAGTGCACGAAATTAACGCGTGAATGGCGTAGATTGAAGGCGCGGATCCAGACCGGCTTTCACCGTTTTACGGAAATCGGTCAAATTTTCCATATGACTCAAAATCGAGGGAAATATAATTTTAGAGGGGAGAAATCTAAAAACGTTTGCCTCCGGACTTCCATAGATTGGGCGCTTATACTCTAGTAAACCGATCAAGTTTTTTCCTGGATTAGCGCCTGTGTTGTCCCAATACAGCGATCCAATTTTTCCAATTTGAACTTGCGCTCCAATAATGTAATAAATAGGCGTGCGGGGAACCAGTCAGAAACGATAATTTTGTTATCGATGACGATTGTGTCAGAGACGCGGTGGCCTGATAGTTAGCGCGCTGGACTACGGATCAAGCGGTCCGGGTTCAAGCCCTGGCCGGGATCACTGTGTTCTTGGGAGTAAAGGAAAGGAAATGAAAAAGGAGGAAAAGAGAGGAGAGAAGAAGTGAGGAACATTTTTAATACCATTGAATGTGTCTTGATTTTGCAGACTTGGAGCACATTATCGCAGCAACGATGGAAATGATTACCAGGTCGAAAGAATTGTTGATCACCATAGCTACAAACGACCTTATGGTATGGCTCACGATATCTCTTTGTTGAAACTGCGTCAACCTGCTCAAATTGGCGAAAAAATTGGACTAGCTTGTTTGCCTGGATCAAGTGAACAAGTTTCGGATGGCAAGATGTGCTGGGTTACAGGTAATGAAAAGCCTTTGAAAAACCTAAAAATTCGCCATAACAGGAATTAAATATTTCAGCTAAAACGTCGGGAAGGTCCGTTAATAATAATAATAAACAGGTTCTTAAAAACGCATTTCACATCACAACGAGGTCTCAATGCTTTTTACAGTCTTGTACATAAAAACCCTAATCTAAAAACGCTCTCTTAAAAAGAAAGTTCTTAATCTTGATTTAAAACAGTCAACAGAGGAACACTGTTTAATGACATTTGGTAAGTCGTTCCAGAGCCTTGGTGCGGCGATAACCGAGAAACATCTGTCGCCATAAAAAGTCGTTTTAGTCTTCGGAATAGACAGCAGATTTGAGCTACTTGACCGTAGTAAACGCCGATGCGGTAAAGGGAATGAAATATCTACATAGAGTTAAAAGGGAATGAAATATCTACACAGAGTTAAAAGGGAATGAAATATCTACATAGAGTTTGCGTAGTGGAAATATATCTAAGAAAAATAGACAAAATAGTTTGTACGAGTTTCATGACGAAATTCAGTGTTTGTAAATTACATCAAACACTTTCTCGTTGATACGATATAAACAAAAGCTAAAAAGTAAACAGATAAATAAAATTTAATTCTGACAATTCATACCGGGTCGGATCCAAACCTCCGTCAGGGTTATGATTTCTTTTTTTATAGCGTGATGCTTTTTCGGTCAAAACAGCGCTAAAATTATGACTCAGTACCTTCGCCCATACACGAAATGCGCCTAGAACATCAAAAGAACGGTATCGAGTGGATTGTTGAAGGGAGACCTAATTGTAATTAGTTTTTAACGATTTTTCCAAGACACAATGGCAGATTTTGAAAAGTCTGCCCGACTTTTTCAAATTGAGATCATGCTTGGGTAACTCGTGATAGCACTCCTTTTATAGCTTCAGACACTAGTATAGTAATTTTGAACTAAACTGGACCATTATTTTTAGGTTTCCGTTGATGTAAATATGTCTTTTGGCTTTCAAATTGTTGACGTGATGCTCATGATAGTGCCCCTTTAGGGGACATCTCCTATAAGTGGACACAAACACAACGCTCATATAATCTTTGTATTTATGATCTCTGTTAAAGGGAAACCTATAAGGGGACAGTTTTTGAGTGTACCGAATACTATTTCGACGTCCTAGTTATACAGTCACATTTCATAACCAGACTTTGTTACGTTGTTCTTGTTTCTGCTTGCTTTTCAAATAAAAATGAATTCACATTGTATGTTGTATTACAATCACCTAATGATTGGCGATTACAGTAATCAAGTGACAAGTCAACACGGAATTTAAATATGTCGCAAGTTTAAATCTGTGTTCCTAGACATTTTTGGGGTGGTTAATTACAAACAAAACTGACAAGACTTCTCCAGGAGACATCTCCATTATATAGGTTTGAAACAACATTATATAGGTTTGAAACAACAACGTGTGTTATGCCTACTAAAGAAACGTCCTGATCTTTGTGGCCATGCATCATTTATTTATGTTCTTTCACATACTATTTTGTTAGGATTTGGAACACTGGCCTCAGGTGGTTCTCTAGCTAAAAAACTCATGCAAGTCTCTGTCCCCGTTGTCTCACAAAACTCATGCAAAGGGGCCTATGGATCATCAATCCACGACTCCATGATCTGTGCTGGACTTAAGGAGGGTGGCAAAGACTCGTGCCAGGGAGATTCAGGGGGACCCATGGTGTGTGAAGACAACGGAAAGTTCTTCCTCGAGGGTGTTGTATCGTGGGGAAGCGGATGTGCCTCTCCAGGGAAATATGGCGTCTACGCCAGAGTCCGTTATTTGGCTAATTGGGTTCAAACTACAATGGACAAATATTAAAGATGTAAATGCCTGTAAGACAATAAAAGGCATGTGAAAACGAACACTCTTTTTGTGTTTATTGTTGTAGTGTGCTCAAATCAAGTACTACAACCCTGAAAGTCCCTGAACGATCGTAGATATATAACAAGAATCAGAAAACCTTAGTTAAAATAATGAAAATGCCATCGTCGGTTCAGACAAAAGTTGCAAAAAGGACCGCGTAAAGGACAAGACATTCCAAATGGAATTGATGTATGTATGTACTAATCAAGAATCATGAAAGAAATGACATATTGGAAATTGGGCTTGATAAGTTCAAAGTCTCGACCATATGGAACAATTTAATATATAATTTGTTGAAAAATCACACAAATTCAAACGACATCGACTCAAAACGTTCCTCGCATGGATGTTTTCAAGGTCATAACTTGCACCCACGAGTAACGGTTTTGTGCATGCTTTTAGCGATATCTTTTTTTAGATGTAGATGAACGTTTAATCGTTTGTCTCACGATGGAGTCACTTTGAGATGTTGATCGCGACGTTTCTACTGCTTTACTGCTAGTCTTCATCAGGCGATGAGGTCAATTGTTTATGTGTCGCTATATGTAGCACCTTGGTTCGTTGCTATTGGTGCATTTCGATCCTCGTTAACGTTATTATTCCGCCTAGAGGTTGTTCCCTCAGTGGGCTGACTAAGGAGGGAACAACCTCTATACTATGCTCCTGGTATACGGTATTTTTACTTAAATATGAGTATTTGCTATATTTTGGAGATAACACAATATATATCAAGTTAAAAGTTTAAAATCTCTTTCATTTATCGTTTAACTAGACGGCATATGTTCTTTAATTTCTGCGGTGTTCTAATTATGGGGTATATTGGTTAGACTGATATACCACAAACCTCCCCTCCCCCGTACTCACTACAAGTTCCTGCAAGGCTCGGGTGGGCTTATTTTTGGCTTATTTTTCAGAACGAATTTTGCGTTTCAAAAATGTTTGATTTTATTTTGCGTCTGAAAAAAACTTGGCGCGTAAAATAATACTGCTTGTTAAATCTTGGTAAAAATAACGATATGAAACAAAAAACAAGTTATTCAGTCGTGAAATGAGCTTCGTAAGTCTCTGAGCATACAATATATATACTGTATAAAGGACATAATATGCAAAACAAGTTCTACCACAAGAGGCTTATATAGCTAACTATCAATATAAGCCCATGGGCTGATATTCTTTAAGGAAGGGGTATTATCGGAGAGATTTTTGCGTTTTACATGTGGGTGGCCTTTTTTCGGGATTTTACGTTATTCTGAACATCGATTGTAACAAATGGTAAAATCATCGAATAAACCATCGAATAAGGGATTTATTATTCCACTCCAAAATGTCCCTGCTATTTTGCTATTTTCCGTATTCGATCAGTTTCTAAACCAGGACACTATAGTGATAGTCATATTTCACGCGTTCTCTTGATCTTATCTGGTGAAAAGACGCAACAATTTCAATGTTTTCAATTTTGTTTTATTCACACTTTTTCAAGATTACAGTAACAATGTAAATAGTGGAATAATAAACGAAAATACAACTTGCAATAATATTTTTTGTTAAACCTGTCGAATTATAGGTTCTCCATTTTCCACTTTTTCAAAATGTGATATTTTACCTATTATCATACCTTGAAACTATAATATTTGTAAATTTTTATATATATTTTTATCTTGAATTGTTCTATATAGTGTCCCCAGTTTTTTTTAGCTAAACACTATTGACACTCAAATAAAGTTATTCATTCATTCATTCATTCATTCATTCATTCATTCATTCATTCATTCATTCATTCATTCATTCATTCATTCATATGTAGGTTTGGCTTTCTTCAATATTTGTTTTAATTCATTTCTAGCGCTACTGATACATCAGAATATTAACTGAAGAGTCCGTAGTTTCCATTGGGATTTGCTAAGCAACAAGACATATCCTAAGTTAACGCAAACAGTCAGACACCATTTATTCAGCCAGTGCTTGAATGAAATTTTCGTGAGATTCTTGCTTCTTACCTTAAAATTGACATTGACATTGACATTGTTTTAAGGTTACTGCATGAGGTACAAAATAAAATTTATAACGGAAGAAATTTGTCTCCCATGGCCATTAACAGAACGGATTGTTTCGAATTGAAATCAATAAAAATACTCATATTCTATCCAAATAAAATACACTTCCATGTTCAGTTTGGTTTGAACAATTAAATGTTATATAAACTAAAGCGAGGACGTTGAAATGGTTAAAATTGGAAGGCGAAACTCCATTAATCTATTTGCACAATTAACAAGAGCAAGTTTTCAAAATGGTCAGAAAAGAAAATCTGCTCGTAAAAGAAACGCCTTCAGCACAAGAGAGTTGCTTCGCGCAAATTCGTTCCCCACATTCCATTGTGTTGTTCATCAGGTGAACAAATAAATTATCGCATAATGCCATTCTCCCACAAAGAGACTTTCAGAAGCCTGTTGAAGTCGCTGCAAACAAAACACACGCTGAGAAAATATCTTTTTATTCAGCTAACAAAGAAACCGTGAATTAAAAATAATGCTTAAAATTGGAAGACGGAACTCTATTGATCTGTTTGTTCTATAACAATTATAGAAAGTTTTCAAAATGGTCAGAAAAGAAAATCTGCTCGGAAAATAAGCACCTTCGGCACTAGAGAGTTGCTTCGTGCAAATTGTTTTTACACATTCCATTGTGTTGTACACCAGGTGAACAAATACATGATTGCATATATAGTGCCATTCTCACGCAAAGAGACTTTCAGAAGCCTGTTGAAGTCACTGTAAACAAAA